AAATATATTAAAATTGGCCGTCAATCACAATATAAGATAATTAAAAGATTAAAATATCATTTTACGTTCCTTATCGAGTACTCGATTTACATGTGGAACATTTACGACATGTTTCGGCTATATATAGCCGTCATCAGGTGTTATATTATAAACGTTTTAACTGAATTACTGATTTTTACTGATTTTTAATGATTTTCAGTTTTCATTTTTCTTATCATGTTCTCGTCCTTCATATTGTATCTTCATCCGTTGTTGTGTCGCCTGTCACTAATATGATTGTATTTCGTAGTGATGTCAATGTTGTGTTTATTGGACCAAGAAGTAATATCGCAGCAGTATTAGGAGAGATTGGAGTTATAGTGTATCGGATCGTGGCTGGTTATATTTTTAATACTTATAAATCACAATATGACGCATCTACAATATGTTACATTAGATGCTAGTAATTTGGACAGATCGAGTAGCTAAATTACAGGTGAATATGGTTAACTGATTTATCGAACATGGACGTCTTCGAAGAAAAGGAACTTTCCTCAGGGTGTGCAGACCGATTTTCAAACCGTGGCTGATTGTGAGTGGCTCAACAAAGATTTTTCCTGACTTAAGACACGTATCTTCCCTGTAGTCTCGACCACTTGGACCTCAGGATATGACATGCGGTGTGCCAAGGTTCCGTCCGTCACAAATCAAGTTCAAAATCCGGACAGACAGGACCATAGCCCCCCCGTGAATAACATCTCAAAAGATAGTAGGTTATCATAAGCGCCGTTAGGGTCGAGTTATTTTGAATAATATTGCTGCCCCAGGTAAAGGCAACTCACCCTGATTTTACTCCGTGTCAGCACATTTCAGTCCTCCGTTGCCCTTTGCACCGACACAATCATCGGTGAAACACACATTTTGTTTAAGGTCGTAGAATTTAATGTAAATAAAATCCACAAAAGACATAATGTATATTTAAATCCGTCTTCATGAGACTCTGATTACTTATTTTTTATATTTTCAGGATAAATTAACAATACTCGTTCTTTTGTGCCCTTCCGAAAGGGCCACGCTTCTGTTCTGATGTATCATTTAAACGTGTGATTACCAACACAATCGTCAGACTTAAATATCGATAAATTGAGAGGAGGGGGGCAGTGTCCATTTGAATAAGTCGCAATCAAAACACAATATGATTACAAACAACAGCGTCAGTTGGATGGGCATGTGCCCACAGAGTCAAGCTTAATCACACCGTGTAATAATTATGAGTCACAACAACTAGTAAGCTAATGTTTGATACTTAATAATGTTATGACCCAGTCCACCTTAGCTTCCCATACTCGTGTATCGTGTTTGTAACGTCTGCGTGGAATCAGAACCGGTGCAGCGCCCGACGTGGCCTTGAGTTTCCGCGACTTCCCCAAGACAGAACGTGGGAACAACATCGGGACTCCTTCCTTCGACACAGTCGTTCTTACTACTCGTAAACAACTTTCGGAGTTGACTCAGTTCCTTAAAAAACAAAGGATCACCAAAATATTACTTGTGGCACACAATATGAATGCAGGTGTCTGTTAAAGACGCCCTCCGCTTGGATTTTCTAGTGGCTTTGCTCAGAAGCTACACCCAGGCAGATCCTTCCCGGTTCATCACTCACACCCGGACTCCATTTGAAGCTCTTTAATAATACCGACACCGGCCGACGTGTCTCTGGTGTTGCAGCAAAACAAATCTGGTTGGTGAAGCCTGAGGGGAAGAGACCTCTGGGGAGACCTAGACGTAGATGGGAGGATAATCTCAGGCGGGATCTATGGGAGATAGGAGTTGAAGGAGAC